TTGATTTTATTTTATAGTCATTATTATTATTTATTTAAAATATTATCAATAAAACATTGATTATTAATTAGTATATTTTAGCTATAAAATGATAATAATTTTTAATTATTTATATAATATAAACACACCAAAAATCCATATGGATGTGAGGATTTATATTTAGAAATTGATTTTTAAATCATATTATTTATCTAATTATTTACGTTAATTATCATTGTATAATAATGATTATTTAATAGTCGTTATAATCATTTATTAAAAATATTATCGATAAAATATTGATTATTATTTCTTATATTTTAGCTATAAAATAATAATAGTTTTTAATTATTTATATAATATAAACATACCAAAAATCCACATGGATGTGAGGATTTATATTTAGAAATGGATTTTAAAAGGGATTATTTATTTAATTATTCACGTCAATTATCATTGTACAATAATTATTAGTTTATAGTCGTTATAATTATTTCTTAAAAATATTATCTATAAAATATTGATTATTATTTATTATATTTTAGGTATAAAATAATAATGATTTGAAATTATTTATATAATATAAACATACCACAAATCCACATGAATGTGAGAATTTATATTTAAAAATGGATTTTAAATCGCATTATTTATTGAATTATTCACTTTAATTATTTTAAATTAAAGTGTTATGCCTCCAAATGTGAAATATGCAACTCTAAGATTCACCAAATAAAAAATGTGAAAGCTTGTTGTGCTGAGAGGCCTCAGTAATACTATCTCAGTAATACTACCTTAACTCCCAGGTCCTTCATCAGGCTGATCTCAAACTGGACCACCTCGTACGGGAGGCGGAACTGAGGGATTTCTGATGTGCTGCGTTAAAAAAAAAAAAGATTTATTGAACAGATTTTCTTTCTCTTTGACTTGGTTTGCACATCTGGATTATCTTTATTTTCTCATTTCAAAAGGGAAGTTTACGGATTAGTCATTGTCTCAGGAAAAATCTTTAATTTGGACTAAATTCTGATCACATTTAGCCATATTTTGGTCTGGATGTTGCTAATAAAGCTAATTATTAGTATGTTCTAACAGTTGATACCTTAATTATAATTATGCTAATTATTAGTATGTGCTAACAGTTGATACCTTAATTATAATTATGCTAATTATTAGTATGTTCTAACAGTTGATACCTTAATTATAATAAAGCTAATTATTAGTATGTTCTAACAGCGTATACCTTAATTATAATTATGCTAATTATTAGTATGTTCTAACAGCGTATACCTTAATTATAATTATGCTAATTATTAGTATGTGCTAACAGCGTATACCTTAATTATAATTATTCTAATTATTAGTATGTTCTAACAGCGTATACCTTAATTATAATTATGCTAATTATTAGTATCTTCTAACAGCGTATACCTCAGGCCCCCGGTGTACTTCTGCTTCTCAAATATTTGGATGTTATCATATCCCAGGCGGGCCAGGAAGGAGGCGCAGCTTATGGAGGCCGGGCCGCAGCCAATCAGAGCGATGGGGGCGTGGTAGGACTCTGGCATCTCATTGGCTGGTGGGAGATCTGGATTTCTGATTTGAGGGATTCCCATTTTACTGAAAACCTGTAAAAGACAAACAACTTATTACGTTTCATATTAGAATATACAGATTCTTACAGGTGACAGACACGTGTTAATTAAGTTAATCGCATTATTTATTTAATTATTCACTTTAATTATATATATATATTATTATGCATAACAATAATAATTATTATGATGAAATATTTCTTATTAATTAGTATATTTTAACTATAAAATATATATCGTTTTTAATTATTTATAGAATATAAACATACATATGAATGTGAGAATTTATATTTAGAAATTGATTTTAAATGGAATTATTTATGTAATTATTCATGTTAATTATCATTTTATGATCATTATTATTTTATAGTAATTATTATTATTTATTATAAATAATATTTTTTTCAATATTGATGATAGCAGTAAGCTAACAAAAGATGCATCTCCTTTTCTTAAAACTATTCCTAGCTAGCTTCTTTTCCTTGTGCTTTATTACTTATAATGAACTTGAAATTCCTTCTTGTTTTCCTACCCTGAGCACATGCCTCCCCCTCCGTTCATTTTCTAATTAAATAAGCTAATAAGCTAATTGAATCCGGGCTAGGCTAAGCTAAGCTAAGCTAGCAGGCCTCCGTAGTACCTCAGTGGCAAACTGCTGGAGCCCTCCGATGTTATATTTTAAATATAAAATATATATGGTTTTAAATAAATAAATATGGTTTTAAATAAGCTATTAAATAGCAGTAAGCTAACCAAAGCTGGATCTCCTGTTCTTAAAACTATTCCTCAACTAGCTTCTTTTTCCTTGTGCTTTATTTCTCGTAATGAACTTGAAATTCCTTCCTGTTTTCCTACCCTGAGCACGTGTCTCCACCTCAGATCTGAGCTCAGCTAAAACAATTTAAATAATCTAATAAGCTAATTGAATCAGAGCTAGGCTAAGCTAAGCTAAGCTAGCAGGCCTCTGTAGTACCTCAGTGGCAAACTGCTGGAGCCCTCCGATATTGATGGGCCCCTCCTCAGAGGCATAGAGGTTACACCCCCCCACACACAGCTCAGAGGTGGGACACACCATCCCACAGGTCAGGCCCAGAGGGTTATCGGACAGGATGGCCCTCGCCGCCCCGTAGTAGTTCTGAAAAGCATCGAGAAGAGAAGAAATGAGCCAGAACGAAGAGAAATATTAAGAATGTCTAGTGCTGAATGGAGGAAGAAGGAGAAGCCAAAGAAAGCTGAAAAACACATAGAACTGAAAAGTTAAAGAAAAAAGGCTGAACAGAGGAATAATTTGAAAGATTTGACCACTGAGCTACACCACAGGCCGAAAAACGTACGGAATAATGAACTAGAATATGGCTATTCCTGTGGAAAAGCTGTGAGAATGGTAGTGCTGAATGGAGGAAGAAGAAGAAGAAGCCAAAGAAAAGCTGAAAAAGACAGAACGGAAGAGGTGAAGAAAAAAGGCTGAACGGAGGAATAAGTTGATAGATTTGACCACTGAGCTACACCACAGGCTGAAGGGCTCTATAGGAATATATACAGTAGGAAAAATTGAAGGTGCTAAAATCCCAGTGACCAGCAGAGGGAGCCATAGTTTTCCCTCCATTCATTTCAATGAGAGATATAAGGCATTAAAGGTTAAATATCTTAGAAAGTTGAAAAGATTTGAACACCAAAAGTCATAACTTCATAGTCCTGAGATAGCCGAACATTTTGATAGCTTATTTGTTGAAATAGGCTAAAAGGTGTAGGAGTAGTTAGATATAGAAAAACGTACGAAATAAAGAATAATAAAGAGAAACAGGAAAACAATTAAAATTAAGTTTCACTTTTACTTTTTTGTGCACTGTTGGAGGTTTCTTCGCAAAAAGCCAGTCTTTAATTAAGATGATTCAGCCAAAAATTGTTAGTTTAAATTGTTTATACAGTTTTTATCGAGTAGGGATTGTATGCTAAATTAAATTAATTCACATTCGTATTACTTTTTTATACATTTTTTATACTTTTACCTTGTTGGAGATGCTGGTGATGAAGGACTTGATGTCCAGGTTGGTGGGACAGCTCTTCTGACAGGGAGCATCAGCACATTTCAGACACCTAAAGGCAGATTTGTTTATTAGATAATCCCACTTTAGGAGTTTATAACCATCCAAATGATGCTTTATAGACCAGACTGGACCTCTGAGCTTCTCTCAGAGCTCCTCGCTCGCTCAGAGTCGTGTGCTTGATGTCGTCAAAGTTGTTTTCCAGCTTCACACAGGACTGGAATCAGGTGGAGAAAGAGGGAAGTTAGGACCAGATTTGTTCAAATTAAAGCTTTGTGTGTGTGAGTTTGTGTCTTACATCACAGCCCCTCTCAGGGTTTCTCTTCCAGTGTTTCTTCTCCTTCTTCTTACTCGCCGTGGACATGATCTGAGCATGACTCTTCACCCTGGGATTAAGAGCCAAGATGCTCTGGAAAGAACAAAAGACGACTGAGTGTACAATTTAAGAGCAATCATTAGTAAAAATGACCAAAAATTACTAAAAAATCAATACTAATTATATTATCTACACCAGAAGTCTTCAACATGGGGTTGCTAGGCTATTGCTAGCATTAGCATTAGCATTAGCATCTCCTCTAGGGGGAGGATCTATCTATCTATCTATCTATCTATCTATCTATCTATCTATCTATCTATCTATCTATCTATCTATCTATCTATCTATCTATCTATCTACCCACCCACCAACCAGGAACCAGAACCAGATGTTTACAGTAGAAACAGGAAGAAATCAACCTGTGGATTATCTGAGGATCTGAGTACTGAACGCCCAACAACAAGGGACATTTACACACTGTTTTAAGGCTGTTTTCCGCCTTTTTCTGTCTCTTTCTGTTGCTTTTCTAGAGTTTTTCTACTTTTTATGCCTTTTTCTGCTGTTTTCTGCCTTTTTCTGTCTCTTTGTGATGTTTTTCTGCCTTTTTCAGTTTTTTTGTGCAGTTTTCTGCCTTTTTCTGTATTATTGTATTGTGTATTTTGTGTTATTCTGGATTATTGGAGGATCTTAGTATTGAATGCCCAATAACAAGGCACATTTACACTCTGTTTTTAAGCTGTTTTGGGCTGTTTTCTACTTTTTTCAATCTCTTTCTGCTGTTTTTCTGCTTTTTTCTGCCTTTTTCTGCTCTTTTTAAGCCGTTTTCTGCTGTTTTTCTAACTTTTTATGCCTTTTTCTACTGTTTTTATGCTGTTTTGTGCCTTTTTCTGTCTCTTTTTGATGTTTTCCTGCTGTTTTCTGCCTTTTTCTGTATTACTGTATTGTGTATTGTGTATTATTCTTTATTATTTGAAGATCTTAGTACTGAATGCCCAATAACAAGGTACATTTACACACTACAGGACCAGTTTGATAGAACACTATTTCAGACCATATCTATAATTATACACTAAATGGGATCAGACAGTAGAAGGTCTGAGTCAGACTTTTATGTAAAGGCAGTAAACTGCTGTTATCTGTCCGCTGTTTTCTGGTGAAAAGGCAGAAACTGTGGGACGTTCTGAGAAGCATGGCAGAGTTCAAGATAAGATACTGATGCCCGGTCGATGTCCCGAGGTCATGTGACCAGTTTCCTCCACAGCCAAACGCACTTTTCTGGCCTAAAACTCAGATTTTTTTACTCTTGTTTTTTCTGATCTGTTTTTTCTGCAGAGTGGATCCCTATTGGCTCTCAGAGGCCCCGCCCCTGCACGTGTTGGACCTCCATCTGGGTGTCAACAGTCAGCTGAACTAACAGAGGAGATGACTTATTACAAAATGCCTCATAAACATGTACACAGCGTTTCACTTCTGTTCTCTTAAAGTGAAACGCTGCAGAAATGAGAGCAGACAGAAGCCTCATTAAAGGAGTCCGCTCAGTTTTACTCTATTTTATTTATATCAAGATACCAATTAAAGGCAACATTTATCTCCCAGCTTTCTCTGTAGGTGTTATTCATCCC